AGGAGACGGGCTGGAAAAGAGGGGAGGTACGAACCTCTTGAGGAGTGGGGCGAGGGGAGAGAGAGGACCAGCGGGGGGGGGTGCCGGTGTTGCCGCGGGCAAACCACTCATCACTGAGCGCTTTGAAGCAAGAGTCAGTGGCATGAGTGGTCTGGCCGCATCGCTGACCCCGCGTGGGGCCATAGCGAGGGAGATACTGACAAGGAGGAAAGGCGGCTGCTGCACCACGTCCTGCGCCGTTGCCACCACGACCCGCACCACCACCACGACCAGCGCCACGCCCACCCCCGCGCCCTCCCCTGGTGTTGCGCTGCTGAGCAACAGCGGCAGTTGAGGAGGAATGGCGCAAGAGGTCGGCTTCGGTGGTGATAATCCACTGGGCGACTTCAGCTGGGGTGATGCGCTTGTCGATCAGCTGCATGTAGGCGATCTTATGGGTGTCGAAGGCAGGAGTCAAGCCTTCAAGGAGGTGGCAGCAGAGCACTGGATCCGGGTACGGCACGCCAAGAGCCGCCAGGCGCCGAGCAAGGTCGAGGACGCGACGCGTGAAGGCAGCTGCGCCGGTGGTAGAGTCCATGGTGAGGCTCTGGAACTCCTTGATGAGGGAGTAGAGGGTGGCAACGTCCTGCCGATCATAGAGATCGGTGAGGAGGCGCCAGAGGTGGGAGGAGGAAGTGGGAGCAAGCTCGCGCTTGAGGGTGGGAGGAATGGTGGCGAGGAGGACGGTGAGCGCGCGCCGGTCAGCGACACGCCATGCAGCGAGGTCGGTGATGTATGCGCGCTCGCGCCTGACGTACTCAGCGAGCTCCGCCTGATACGTGTTGTAGGCGGCAGTGGCGGCGTCATGCTTGGCACGGGAAGCCTCGAAGAGCAGCTGCTGGCGGACGTGGTCGGTGAGGCCGGCACGGTAGGTGCGAATGGCGGTCTCGGAGCTCTGAGGGTCGTTGACGTCAGGGGCGAAGGTTGGAGGATCGCCAGGGCTGACGGAAGCATCGCCAGGAGGAGGAGGTGCAGGGCCCGCGGGAGCAATCGGCTGGGCAGGCTGAAGACCGCGCTCCTCGAGATGGACAACGGCTTTCAGGTTGTAGCCGTTGACTGTCACCGAGGAGAGAAGCACCGTGACGGTTTGGGCATAGGAATGCCAATTGACCGCGGTGTTGTCGGGCAGCAGCTCAAGAGCGTCGACGGAGGTAAGGTCCACCGAGGAGTCGGACGCCATTGAGGAGGAGGAGGAGAAGGAAAGGAGGAGGAGGAAAAAGGAAAGGAGAAGGAGAAGGAAAGGAGGAGGAAAAGGAAAGGAGGAGGAGAAGGGGGAGGGAGGAGAAGGATAGGTGCGCGGAGCGCAGCTCTTAAGTCGCCGAAGGCTCCAAGGAGGGATGCGGCGACGGACGGCCGCGCGCGGTCGGCGGAAGCGACGACGGACAGCCGCACGCGACGGCGGCGAAATCGGCGACGGCTGCGGCGGCGAGCACGTTCGCGATGGACGGATTCGTCGGCGGGTGCACGCGAGTGCCACGACGAACAGGCGCGTGGTGCGAGAGCGCGACGAACGGGTGCGCGCAGTGCCGGAGGGCGCACGACGGGACGACGCGACGACGAGCCGCGCGAGGAGGAAAAGGGCGTCGAAAGACGCGAGGGGAGGTGCGCAACGGAAGGGAGAGCGGGCGCGATAGGAGGCGCGCGACGGGAGAGACAGTGTGCGCGATGGGAGATCGCGTTGGGAGAGGGCGCACGGACGGCGCGCGAAATAGCCTAAGAAGGGCTAGGCTTCGATGACGAGGAGGGACGGCATAGGGCCGTGCTAGTTAGGATCGACTAGAGGTGGCGTGAGCCATTGTGGCTCTGAATACCATGAAGGAAATAGCTTGGAAGAGAAAAGATTGATTGAGTAGAGAGCCAAGAGGCTCTTTTGTACAAAACAAGGAGCAAGGAAGAGTTGGAAGGGAAGCTCTCCTATTGGCCATAAAGTGGACCAATGGGAGAGGTTGCTTGTAGGGCAAGCAACCACAAAGTGTGGTGCTCTCTGATTGGCCACAACGTGGACCAATGAGAGAGATTGCTTGGAAGGCAAGCAACCACAAAGTGTGGTGCTTGGTGATTGGTTGGTTCATAGGACCAAGGACCATTTGGTTGGAATAGTGCCAACCAAATGTCTAGGACCAAATCCAATCTTGACCAACCCAAATGTGGGGTTGGTCAACCCAACCAACAACCCCCCAATATTTATAATGACTACACCTCCTAATCTAGGCATGCATGTTGTATAGATATATATTTTACAACAGGGTACCCATTACCCGACATGTCGGGTAACATTTCGGGTAATGGGTATTGCAATACCCGCCCGGGTAACCCGGACCCGACCCGCCGGGTAATATTCCGGAATCCGGATACCGGACCCGCCCTAAAAGCGGATCCGGGTCCGGGTAGGCTTGAGCAAAACCGGGTTATTACGCGATCCGACCCGGTTTTCAATACCCGACCTCGGGTCGGGTAATTTCGGGTCGGGTAATTTCGGGTCGGGTCCGGGTCGGGTAATATGCCCAGGACCCTTACCCTAGGCTTGAGCAAAACCGGGTAATTACCCGACCCGACCCGGTTTTGCAATACCCGACCTCGGGTCGGGTAATTTCGGGTCGGGTCCGGGTTGGGTAGGGTTGAGCAAACTACCCGCCCGGGTCGGGTACCCAGTACCCGGACCCGCTTTTAGGGCGGGTCGGGTATCGGAAATCCTGAAAATTACCCGGTGGGTCGGGTCCGGGTTACCCGGGGCGGGTATCAATACCCGCTACCCGAAATGCTACCTGACGCGTCGGGTAGCGGGTACCCGACCCGAAATCGGGTAGCGGTCTACCCGACGGAACCAGCGAGACATTAGTCGCGCTGGTAGAGAAATTTCATCAGATTTCTAGGTTACGTGAGCTGCTAGGTCACTTAGAGCATTGTAGATTGGCAGGGGTTGGGTTTCGTAGATATGCATTCAAAGTGGTTGAATTGGGGGGAATTGGTTGGAAGTCAAACCAATCGAATTTCCCCAATCGAATTTGCAACCCAACCTGAATCCAGCCAACCGCACAGCACCACATTGGTTGGAGTTCCAACCAATTGACTCTGGGGGTCAAAGAATCAAACCCCCAGAAACCGCACACAACCCCATTCCAACTAGAAAACCCAACCAACTCCCCACTCAGGCCCCACTCACGACCCACTCACCACACCAGAACTGTTAAAGATTTGGTGCACCTCATACTCCCTCCCGCAGCTCACGTTTTTTTAAGCACCATCTAGGTCGTAGGCTTAGTAGCCCAACAGGGTAGAAAAACGCGGGTAATACTACCCGCTTTTCAAGGAAACCGGGTCGGGTGTACCCGGACCCGCCAGGCGGGTATTAAATTACCCGCCCCCAAATCCCGGGTCCGGGTATTGGTCCTGGGCATGTTACCCGACCCGTACCCGACCCGAAAATACCCGACCCGAAGTCGGGTATAGCAAAACCGGGTCGGGTCGGGTAAATACCCGGTTTTGCTCATGCCTAGGGTCGGGTAATATGCCCAGGACCCTTACCTGGACCCGGCCTTAGGGGGCGGGTAATACAATACCCGCCTGGCGGGTAATACAATACCCGCCTGGCGGGTCCGGGTATACCCGACCCGGTTACCCTGAAAAGCCGGTAATACTACCCGCCACCTACTAGTGGACATCCTAAAGTTGGGCTAGGCTAGGTAGGGTTCCTGAAAACGCGACTCTCAAATGAGAGTCGCGTTTTCTGGGGGTCGAATTTTGACCACCCAACTCCCTCCCTTTCACCGCACTGAACTCCTCCCCGTCTACACACTCCAATTTCCAACCAAACTCCCTCCCTTTCACCGCACTGAACTCCTCCCTGTCTACAAACTCGAACATTTCCAACAAAACTCCCTCCCTTTCACCGCACTGAACTCCTACCCATCTACAAACTCCAACCTCTTCTCCAACTCCCACCCAACTCCCTCCCTTTCACCGCACGTAACTCCTCCCCATCTACAAACTCCAACTTCTCGTCACAAATGCTCCACTCGTCCCCCCTCACCTCCAAAACCGTTTTGCCGCAAAACCTAAAACACAGCGCGACTTACGCCCATGTCTAGGTGGAATACCCGACCGGGTCGGGTACCCGTTACCCGACACGTCGGGTAGCATTTCGGGTAGCGGGTATTGATACCCGGCCCGGGTAACCTGGACCCGACCGGCCGGGTAATTTTCAGGATTTCCGATACCCGACCCGCCCTAAAAGCGGGTCCGGGTACCGGGTACCCGACCCGGGCGGGTAGTTTGCTCAACCCTAGGTCCGGGTACCCGACCCTTGCGGGTATTTTGCTCAAGCCTACTATTGACTTTGCCTGCATGCTGTTGACTTTGCCTGCATGCCATTGACTTTACCTGCATGCTGTTGACCGTGCCTGCATGCCATTGACTTAGCCTGCATGCCATTGACTTTGCCTGCATGCTGTTGACTTCGCCTGCATGCCATTGACTTTGCCTGCATGCTGTTGACTTTGCCTGCATGCTGTTGACTTTGCCTGCATGCCATTGACTTTGCCTGCACGCCATTGACTTTGACTGCATGCTGTTGACTTTGCCTGCATGCTGTTGACCTTGCCTGCATGCCATTGACTTTGCCTGCATGCTGTTGACTTTGCCTGCATGCCATTGACTTTGCCTGCATGCCATTGACTTTGACTGCATGCTGTTGACGTTGCCTGCATTCTGTTGACCTTGCCTGCATGCTATTGACTTTGCCTGCATGCTGTTGACTTTGACTGCATGCTGTTGACTTTGACTGCATGCTGATAGCTTTGCCAGCAAGTTGGCATGCTCATAGTGTCTCACCATAACCCCTCTCTCCTGAACCTACTCGTTATCGTCCCTGTATCCATTACCCTTATCTCCTGCATCTACTAGTCCTCTCTCCAAAACACCTTTCCTCTCCCCCTTACCCCCCCCCCCCCCCCCCTCTACAGGCGTTGGAGCGCACGTTGGAGTTCGAGGACGACCTGGCCAAGCGCTTCGCGGCGCCGCAGCCCGCTGCAAGGGCTGGCGCGGGGGGGGCTGCCTCACCCACTGCTGCTGGCAGCGGCGGAGCCGCTGGTGGCAAGGAGGGGGAGGTGAGGGGGGGTCAGGTGGGGCGGGAGAGAGAGAGTGGATGAGGGGATTGTGGGAATGGGGAGAGAGGGAAGGATGGAATGGGGGAAGGATGGAATGGGGGAAGGAAGGATGGAATGGGGGAAGGATGGAATGGGGGAAGGGGGTGGGGTGTGGGATATGGGACGGGAAGAAGGGGAGGAGAGGGTGCATAAGCGGCATGGGTAGGTGAGAGCAAGTTGCAGCATGCACTGCACGAGGATGGTTCCCCCCATGCATCCTGCAAGGGCCGCCCAGACTTGTTCTCCAACCTTCTTCTCACCCTTCTTCTTCTTCATCTTCTTGTTCTCCCGCGCCTACCTTCTTTCTCCTCCGCCCTCTTGTCCTCCCCCGCCCCCCCCAGTTTGAGTTCCACGGCGCCATCTCAGCGTGCTTTGAGCCGCACCTGGGCGTGTACGTGGATCTCGAGGAGAGGACGCTGGCTGACACGCTCGACAAACTCATGCAGGTGAGAAGCTGGTGCAGGTGAGAAGCTGGTGCAGGTGAGAAGCTGGTGCAGGTGAGAGGCTGGTGCAGGTGATAGCTGCAGCAATCGATAGTTGGTGCATGTGATAGCTGTTGCAATCGATAGCTGGTGCAGGTGATAGCCGGTGCAGGTGGCAATCTGGTGCAGGTGACAAGGGGGTGCAGGTGATAGCCGGTGCAAGTGGCAATCTGGTGCAGGTGACAAGCTGGTGCAGGTGATAGCCGGTGCAGGTGATAGCTGGTGCTGGTGAGAGGCTGGTGCAGGTGATAGCTGCAGCAATCGATAGTTGGTGCATGTGATAGCTGTTGCAATCGATAGCTGGTGCAGGTGATAGCCGGTGCAGGTGGCAATCTGGTGCAGGTGACAAGGGGGTGCAGGTGATAGCCGGTGCAAGTGGCAATCTGGTGCAGGTGACAAGCTGGTGCAGGTGATAGCCGGTGCAGGTGATAGCTGGTGCTGGTGATAGCTGGTCCAGGTGACAAGCTGGTGCAGGTGGCAATCTGGTGCAGGTGATAGCTGGTGCTGGTGCAGGTTATAGTTGGTGCAGATGATAGCTGGTGCAGGTGATTCAGGTGATAGCTGGTCCAGGTGACAAGCTGGTGCAGGATGCGACGAAGCGATGGTGGTGCAAATGCAAGCAGGTGGTGGTGGTGAGAGCAGCGGATGGAACACGCGCTCATTGGTTGTGTGTCATTCCTCTTTTCTCTCTCCTCCTGCCTCTTCATGCGTCTTCCCCTTGCCGCTGTTGCATCTCTCTCTCGTCCTATGCTCTGATGGTTCCGTTTTGGTATGGTGCATGGTGGATGGTGCATGTTGCATGGTGCATGGTGCATGGCAGGAGGAGACATGGGAGGCGGAGGAGGGCAGTCAAACCAACATTTTGCGAAGTAGCTCGGAGGTGAGAGGGTGAGAGGTGAGAGGGCAGCTCGGAGGTGAGTGAGAGGGAGGGCAGCTCGGAGGTGAGTGAGAGGGAGGGCAGCTCGGAGGTGAGTGAGAGGGAGGGCAGCTCGGAGGTGAGTGAGAGGGAGGGCAGCTCGGAGGTGAGTGAGAGGTAGGGCAGCTCGGAGGTGAGTGAGAGGGAGGGCAGCTCGGAGGTGAGTGAGAGGGAGGGCAGCTCGGAGGTGAGTGAGAGGGAGGGCAGCTCGGAGGTGAGTGAGAGGGAGGGCAGCTCAGAGGTGAGTGAGAGGGAGGGCAGCTCGGAGGTGAGTGAGAGGGAGGGCAGCTCAGAGGTGAGAGGGCAGCTTGGAGTTGAGAGGGCAGCTCTGAGGTGAGAGGGCAGCTCGGAGGTGAGTGAGAGGGAGGGCAGCTCGGAGGTGAGTGAGAGGGAGGGCAGCTCGGAGGTGAGTGAGAGGTAGGGCAGCTCGGAGGTGAGTGAGAGGGAGGGCAGCTCGGAGGTGAGTGAGAGGGAGGGCAGCTCAGAGGTGAGAGGGCAGCTTGGAGTTGAGAGGGCAGCTCTGAGGTGAGAGGGCAGCTCGGAGGTGAGTGAGAGGGAGGGCAGCTCAGAGGTGAGAGGGCTTTTTAGTGTTGGGAACGGTGGGGTGTGAGGGGGGATGGGAGCAATCTCAGAATTACTGCACCCATTTTTCTGTTGCTTTTGTAGTATCTATCATACCTTTCCGCCCTGCACCCATCCCTCCCTGCAGATGTTTCTGGCCATCCGCAAGAGTTTCAACCGCTGCTGTCAGCTCACCAGAAAGCAAACACTGCTCAGCCTCTTCCAGGTGATGCCTCGTCCAGGTGATGCCTCTTCCAGGTGATGCCTTTTCCAGGTGATGCCTCTTCCAGGTGATGCCTCTTCCAGGTGATGCCTCTTCCAGGTGATGCCTCTTCCAGGTAGGGTTGAGCAAAACCGGGTAATTACCCGACCCAACCCGGTTTTGCAATACCTGACCTCGGGTCGGGTATTTTCGGGTCGGGAAATATGCCCAGCACCCTTACCCAGACCCGGCCTTAGGGGGCGGGTAATACAATTTCCCCCTGGCGGGTCTGGGTATACCTGACCCGGTTACCCTGAAAAGCGGGTATTACCATTCCACCCGCCACCTACTAGTGGGCCTCCGAAATACGGGCTAGGCTAGCTAGGGTTTCTGAAACGCGACTCTCAAATGAGAGTCGCATTTTCTGGGGGGCTTCCAGGTTCCAACCGACGCCCTCCCTTTCAACACACTAAAATCCTCCCCATCTAGCAACTGCAGCCCTTCTCCAAGTTCCAACCAACTCCCTCCCTTTCACCGCACTTAACTCCTCCCCATCTACAAACTCCAACAATTTCTCCAACTCAAAATCAGCTCCCTCTCTTTCACTGCACTCAACTCCTTCCCATCTACAAACTCCAACCTTTTCTCCAACCCCCACCCAACTTCCTCCCTTTCACCGCACTTAACTCCTCCCCATCTACAAACTCCAACTTCTCCTCACAAATGCTCCACTCATCCCCCCTCACCTCCCAAACCGTTTTGCCGCAAAGCCTAAAACACAGCGCGACTCACGCCCATGTCTAGGTGTAATACCCGACCTCTGGTATTAATTACCCGACCCGACGGGTTCCCGTTACCTGTCCTGTCGGGTAACGGTTCGGGTATCGGATAGGCTTGAGCAAAGGGTCGGGTCGGGTCGGGTAACCTGACCCGAACCGGACTTATTGACGGGTCGGGTCGGTATTCCCGACGGGAAAACCCGACCCGACGGGTTAGCTTTTTTCTAGACGGGTCGGGTTGACCCGTACCCGACATGTCGGGTTTCGGGTCAACCCGACCCGAAGTCGGGTCGCGCGTCGACCCGACGGGATCTGCACGACCAAAATCGCGCAGATATGAAATTTCGACCATTTGGTCCAAATTTTAACCCTAAACTTCCTTGCTAAGCTTCGCCCTAGCCTAAGTCAACATCCTATCTAGTTCCTTGCAAAAACCAACGGCTACTTCAGCTAGAACTAGTGTTTCCTCCCTTCCTTAGGGTAAGCGATTGCCCAACGGGTTTAGGTTGATCTAGATCTCTTGGATGGAATTGACTCAGCACACACCCTACTCAACTCAGAAAATCGCGAACACCTCCAACCCAAGCGAAATTTCGCCAGCACCCCCAATCCACACGAATTTTCGCCAACATCCCAAACCATGCGACTTTTCGCCAACACCCCAAACCCACACAAATTTCGCCAACGCCTCCAAACCACTCGAATTTTTCGTCAACACCACAAACCAACTAAAAAATTGTAAGCACTCTCCAACCAACGATTTTCGCCAACACCCCCAAACACGAGGAATATGTAGCGGATCTTGGAATTAGGAGGAAAAAAGCTTGAAGTCGCTGCATAGATCATTATAACTTAGGCTGCTCTGGATGCCCTTTAAAAAAGGACGGGTCGCCGTACCCGTGGTCGGGTCGGGTCGACCCGACCCGACCGCGGGTCAGGTATGACCCGACCTGTTTTCGTCGGGTCGGGTTGGAAGAATCCTAGGGTCGACCCGACCTTGACCCGACCCGACCCGACCCGAACCCGATCACGGGTCAGCCAAGTCGGGTCGGGTCGGGTAGATGCTCAAGCCTAGTATCGGATACCCGACCCGCCCAAAAAGTGGATCTGGGTCCGGGTACCCTACCCTCGCGGGTATTTTGCTCAAGCCTAATTTTAGGTGATGCCTCGTCCAGGTGGTGCCTCTTCCAGGTTAGACGTTGGCAGCATGCCGAGCCATGCTCGGCTCGACTCGGCTCGACTCGCCTTTTAAGCAAGTCAAGCCGGGGAATTTTTTTGGCCGGCTCGCCCCGAGTCGAGCCGAGTCGAGCCGGTCGAACCGCGCGGTTCGGCTCGGCTTGTCGGAATTATTTGGGCGAGCCGAAGTCGAGCCGGCTCGTTTTTGGCTCGGCTGTCGAGTCGCGCGGCTCGACCCCCGCTGGAAATCGAAAACCCATTTCTGGTTTTCGATTTCCAGTAACTCTAAGCGCTGCCTACGCCCACCACGTCAGCCTACCATGCCTAAGCCCCAGTAATCTCACTCCGTAAGTTCAGTCAGACATTAACTAGAGTGTTTTAGGCTATTAGGGTTCAGGAAATTACGTTTTTAGGGTACACCAGCGATGGCGATTTCTGTTTAGGACTTAGATTTTCTAGGTCCGCCAAACACCCACTTTCTACTCTAGTCAAGAGCGCTAACCGTCACTACTCTGTCGAGTCGAGCTGAGCAGAGCCAAAGTTGAGCCGGCCTTTGGCTCGACCCTCAAACCCCGAGTCGAGCCAGCCATTTTCGGGCAGCCGGCTCGGGTCGAGTCGAGCCGGCTCGGCTCGTCTTTTACTTGGCTCGTGGTCGAGTCGAGCCAGGCTCGGCATGCTGCCTATGTCTATTCCAGGTGGTGCCTCATCCAGGTGATGCCTCGTCCATGTGATGCCTCGTCCAGGTGATGCCTCGTCCAGGTGATGCCTCGTCCAGGTGATGCCTCTTCCAGGTGATGCCTCGTCCAGGTGATGCCTCGTCCAGGTGATGCCTCGTCCAGGTGATGCCTCTTCCAAGTGATGCCTCTTCCAGGTGATGCCTCTTCCAGGTGATGCCTCTTCCAGGTGATGCCTCTTCCAGGTGATGCCTCTTCCAGGTGATGCCTCTTCCAGGTGATGCCTCTTCCAACTAAAATTTCTTTTGGGTAAAACCTCTTTCGGGTGGCGGTTCTTTTGAAACAAGTGTTTTTCCAGACTGAAAGGTTCCCTGCAGGCTCGAATTCAGCCTCACGCGATTCACAAATATCCTTTCCCTTGCCTTGGCCTTCCTCGTCCTTCCCTGTTCCTAAGGCACTGCTCTCAGCTGCACAAGAGCAATGTTGGTGCGAAGGGCTGCGCTGACACATAACCCTTGCTCGTGACACGTACCCCATGCTTGTGACACATACCCCATGCTCGTGACACATACCACATGCTCATGACACATAGTCCATGCTCGTGACACCATACCCCATGCTCGTGACACGTACCCCATGCTCGTGACACATACCCCATGCTCGTGACACCTACCCCATGCTCTGCTCACACACCCCGTGCTCGTGACACATACCCCATGCTCACATACCCCATGCTCGTGACACATACCTCATGACACATATCCCATGCTCTTGACACATACCATGTGCTCATGACACATTCCCCATGCTCGTGACACATACCGTGTGCTCATGACACATTCCCCATGCTCATGACACATACCCCACATACCCCGTGCTCATGGTACACGGTTTGGTCATGTCACACATGCCCCATGCACATCACACATGCCCCATGCACATCACACATGCCCCATGCGCACCACACATGTCGCACCCATGCCAGCCCTCCCACTTCAATCACATGTGTTCAAGCGCGTGCTGTGCCTGTGCCATGCGCATGCGCCCCACGCATAAACCAACCGCCCCTGTCCATCCCCCCTTTCCCCGCCTTCCCTCCCCCAGGTGTTCAAGCGCGTGCTGCGGCAGTACGCCAACCGCCTCAGCGCCCGTTTGCCGCGCGCTGCCCAGCCCACTGCTGGGGGCGAGTGGCAGGTGAAGGTAAGACGAAAGAAGGGGAGGCGAGAGTGGAGGGTAGAGAAGTGGAGGACGCACGCCAGTCGAAGATGGCAATGCTGAGAAGGCAGTCAGGGGATAAGGAGGAGCGACATTGATAGGTGGAGTACTGCTGGTTAGGGGGAGACCCTGCCAGCTTCATTCACAGATGAATTTCATCCCTTCGTCGATCTGCCTCGTGGGTGTGTGCGTGCTCCATCTCACTGCATGCCATACTCACTTGCTGCGTGCACTTCACCTGCTGCGTGCACTTCACCTGCTGCGTGCACGTCACCTGCTCTGTGCACTTCACCTGCTGCGTGCACTTCACTTGCTGCGTGCACTTCACCTGCTGCGTGCACTTCACCTGATGCGTGCACTTCACCCGCTGCGTGTACTTCACCCGCTGCGTGCACTTCACCTGCTGCTGCACTGCACGCCAATACCTTATGCCCTGCCGTGTGATGCGTGCCGCCTTGCCCGCATGAATGCGCCACTCCACGGCACCGCAGATGGCGGAGAAGGACGAGCGCGTGGTGTGCTACATCATCAACACCGCCGAGTACTGCCATGAGACTGTGAGTGCTGCCACGAGACTGTGAGTACTGCCACGACACTGTGAGTGCTGCCACGAGACTGTGAGTGCTGCCACGAGACTGTGAGTGCTGCCACAAGACTGTGAGGGCTGCCACAACACTGTGAGTGCTGCCACGACACTGTGAGTGCTGCCACGAGACTGCGTTCAACGGAGCTCCTTCCAAGTATCCATGTGTTCCCATGATTCCGCTTGTGCATGCCCCTTCTTTCTCGACGTCCCTCTGCACCTATTCCTCCTTGTCCGCTTTTCCTCCTTGTCCGCTTTGTCAAAATTGAAAACTTCATTGAGAAATGAGCAAGAGCATACATCCTTAAAGCCGCCGTCCAAGATTGAAAAAAAACCCGAAACCCGTAGAGGTAGTTGGGTGTTGGCGAGTTTAGCGAGGTGGTATGGAATGAACGAAGCACGTGATTGGGTGGGAATTTTGTGGTTTCGCCACGGTGTAATTTGATTTTGGCCTTACTGGTGGGCCCGAGGTGGATGTTGCGGGCTAGGGGGGAAAGGCAGGGGGAGTTTTGTGGGCGGGGTGTGGAAAACATTTTGAAAACCGTCGCTGGCGGAAATTACTGGGCCCCGAGGCGGAATCGAAATCGCCCCTTGGGTATATTCCAGCTCGAAAACGCAGTGGCGGGAGTGGGGAAAGTGGGAAAGTGAGGGCGGGGCCTGGGGGGGGAAACGAAATGGGCTCGGGGGAAGGAAACAAGGCGAGGGGAATAAACGCACGGGGAGAAGAGTGACAATTTTCGAGGTTTGCAGTGCACCATTCTGGTTCAAGTTTTTGCACGGCTTTTGGCGAGCTCTCGCCTAGCCAGCACTGCCTCACCAGGTAACCTAGCCTATCAACTTATGAACAATTGAACTTTGCTGGCTATATTTGTACCGCGGCTTTAAGTACCGAGCAATGGAGAGGATGGGAAGGGATAAGGGAGAATTGGAGGGAATCCCAAGGGAATCCTCCCAAATCGGGGGGATGTGGGATGGATTGGGTTGGGATAGGTTGGGGATGAAAACAAAGCTACACCAACCTAACAAATATGTCTAACCCTATAACCAACAAATTCCTAACACACAAAGTTGTGCCAACCGAATTGCAGCCTATCTCCAACACACTCCCTAGGCTGCAACGTCGAACGCCGTAGGGACGCCAAGTCCCATGGCAAAACGCTTGAGAACGTTGTTCACATAGAACTCTTGAGAGAGAGTGATGGTGCGAGCTTCGCGATCCCGCGAGATTTCCATCCCAAGGTAGTTCTTGAGTTCCCCGAGGTCCTTCATGGCGAGAGCGTCCCCAAGAGCTTGCTTAACAGCTGCCAGCTGATCGGAGTCCTTGGAGACGAGAATCATATCACGTACACGAGAATGAAGAGACTCGGATCGGCGGAGGAAGGGTGGAAGTCGAGTGACTCGAGGGTTGCCTTCAACTTCTTGTGCCATTCTCGAGGAGCCAGCTTCAACCCGTAGACTAGTCGATTTAGTTTACAGACCGTGCCGGGTGGAAAGGGCAAGGGAAATCCTTGAGGACGTTCCATGTAGATGTCCTCGGGGAGATCCCCTTGGAGAAATGCAGCAGAGACGCCCATGGAGTGGACGTCAAAGTTGCATCGAGCAGCGATGTCCAGCAGGGTCCGTAGAGTGGGCAGTTTGGCCGTCGGAGAGAACGTGTCGAAGAAGTCTAGACCCTTTTTCTAAGTGAAGCCCTTTGCACAGTATCGTGCCTTCAAGACTGTGAGTTTGTCAGACAGTTGCTTGACTCGAAAAACCCAATTTGCCACAGACAATGTTGACTCGGAAAGACATTCGTGAAAGAGTTGTTACGAATTAATGCTTGGCGACATAAGTGCGTCCTTGGCGACGGCGACGATAGGTGACGGGGGAATCGGGAGAAGAGGTGGAGGTTGGAGGTGGAATCGGAGGTGAAGGTGGAGATGGAGGGGCATGCGCAGTGGGAAGTGTAGAAGGAGAGGGAGGGGGAAGGGCAGCAGCAGGAGCAGGTGCAGGTGCGGGCGGAGGTGAAGGGGCAGCGGATACGGTGGGGGAAGGGGGGTGAGAGAGAGTGGAAGGAGATGGAGGAGGCGAGAGTGAGCTGATGAGAGGAGCACGATAAGGTGGTGGAGGTAGAGTGTGCTTCAGTGGGAGATGGAGGTACTTGGAGTGTGTAGAAATTGTTGGCCGTCAGTGTGAAGCGTGTAAGGAGGGTATTTGTGGTGGGGTCAAGGAGATCGCAGTCACTCGAGTGAGCAGGAAAGATGGTGGTTACTCCTGCTCGTTGAATTTCATGCTGTGCGAGTAGATTTTGCCGAAGAGTGGGCACGCATATGCCTGTGACCGAGCCTGATGGGAAGGCTGGGCATGGAAGAGTGGAAGAACCATGGGCGACAGTTGTGAAGTTGAAGTCAGCGCCTAGGAGAGGAATGAGTGCTTGGTATGGTGTGAACGACTCTTTATCCTGGAGGACTGTGTGGGTTGCGCCACTGTCCAAGACAAATTCAAGTGGTTTAGATGGTGTTTGTGCAGACGCCGAGTATAGGGAACTGGTTTCATTGATCATGTGAAGGCCAGGGAACAACAGGTTGGGACTAGGGGCATTAATGGCTGAGTCCTGCCTATCCTGTGCCTCAACATGGTTGAGCTGGCGCATGCGAAGCCAGTTGGGCGGCTTGGAGTTGACCCCATTCTTTGCAAACCACTCGTCGTCTTTCTTTTTGAAGCAGGTGGCGAGTGGATGATTGGTGCCGCCGCACACCTGACCCACGCGCGGTCCCATCTTGATGATGTGAGGACAAGGTGGGTAGCAGTTACGAGTGGGTGGTGCATTAGGACGGGATGCTGAAGCCGGGACTGGAGCGCGAAGCGCATTTGCTCGAGCCTGCGCAGTGTTGTCCTTTCAGCAAAGAGAAGCACGGAAGAGACCTTGGCGAAGGTTAGCTCTTCTGGCGGGAGATGGAGAAGAATGGAGGGAGTGACATTGTAAGAGGGGGTCAACCCAACAAGCAGAGCTGCTGCAGGGGCTTGCTCTGAGAAGACAATCCCGAGTTGCTTCAGCTCCTGATGAATCCCTTGAATTTCAGCGACATAATCTGACATTCCAGGGTACTCCTCCAGGCGCATCTGAAACATGCGGGGGATGAGGATCGCCACCCCCACAGCGGTTTTGTTGAGGAAGCGATCGTTGAGATACTCCCAAATGGCGTGCGCGGAAGGATAGTTATGGTAAGTTTTGACGAGGTCGGAAGGGGTAGTGCCGACAAAGACGCCGATGATGGCAGCGTCGGCTTGCTCCCACACGCTGTAAGATTCCTCATACTTGGACATGGATTCCTCATGCGCCTTGGTCTCTTTCTCAGTGGACGTGGCCAAGAGCTTTTTGGGAAGGATTGGCATCTTTCCTTTGCCGCGATTGAGGAGGACATCCTTGAGGCAAATCCCCTCAATCTTGCGGCTCAATAGATGCTTATCAACCCCATAGCTCCACTCCTTGAAGTTAGGGCTTGAGCCATTGGGGTTGAGGCGCAAGGGAGTGATCGGGTTCGAGAGAGACGCGGAAGGGCCATGATGTTCAAGGACCCTTTCTCCGCGCGTAGTGCAGCTCTTAAGTCGCCGATAGGCACTTCGCGCCTATCGGAGAGCTGCGCGCAGCGCGGGCTCCGCGAAAAACGAGATTTTCCTTCGCAGATTTTCAACACTCGGAGAGCGAGAATGGCGGATTCATAAGAAAATCTAATCGATACGAAATGCTGCTGCAATCCTGCTACTCCGCGACCCCCCCCCCCCCCCCCTTTCTGCTTCGCCGCTGCCCCCTTTTTGCTTCGCTGCTGCACCCCCCCCCGCTGTTGCGGGGTGGCAGCCCGTTCAACTTTGACGAGCAGATGCGAGGCGACGGGCGGCAGCCCGTTCAGCTTCGACGAGCAGATGGGGGGCGACAGGCTCAGCCCGATCAGGTGCGACAAGCAGATGCGGGGCAACGGGCTCAGCCCGATCAGGTGCAATGAGCAGATGCGGGGCGACGGGCTCATCCCGATCAGGTGCGACGAGCAGATGCGGGGCACCGGGCTCAGCCCGATCAGATGCGACGAGCAGATGCGGGGTGACGGGCTCAGCCCGAAGTGAAGCACCGAGCAGATGCGGGGCGACGGGCGGAGATCCGGCGCTAAAATCCGGGAAGCACTAGTGCTAGATGTGAGAAAGAAAAACAGAATGTACTTAAGACCGTGACGTCTTAGTACGAAGAGAGGTTGTGCGAACTAGAGCGCACAAGTGAGGCTCCGGCGGAGCGAGAGGATCATGAGCCACGTGGGCGGGAACGGAGCTCTGATACCATGTCAAAAACTGAAAACTTCATTGATGAATGAGCAAGAGCATACATCCTTAAGTACCGAGCATCGGAGAGGATGGGAAGGGATAAGGGAGAATTGGAGGGAATCCCAAGGGAATCCTCCCAAATCCGGGGGATTTGGGATGGATTGGGTTGGGATAGGTTAGGGATGAAACCAAAGCTTCACCCAACCTAACAAATATGTCTAACCCTAAAACCAACAAATTCCTAACACACAAAGTTGTGCCAACCGAATTGCAGCCTATCTCCAACACGCTTTTCCTCCTTGTCCTCTTTTCCTCCTTGTCCGCTTTTCCTCCTTGTCCGCTTTTCCTCCTTGTCCGCTTTTCCTCCTTGTCCGGTTTTCCTCCTTGTCCGGTTTTCCTCCATGTCCCCTTTTCCTCCGTGTCCCCTTATCCTACTTCCATTTTCTCCGTTGTCCCCTTCCACCCTGCTCCCCCTGCTTCAAGACCTCAGCTCATAGGATGTGTTACCAACTGTGAGTTACGGTGGTTATTGACGAGCAAGTGTGAGCGCCCCTGGTTCCTCTGCACCACCCCCCACCCTCCCCCTACCGCTCCCCGCTCCTTCACTGCCAGGCGGCGCAGCTGGCGGAGAGTGTGGCGAACCGCATCGATGGCGACCTGGTGGGGTCCGTGGATATCGGCGATGAGCAGGTGGGGGGGAGGGGAGCTGGAGGGAACGCTGGTGCATGCACGCAGGGATGGAGGGTCAAGGGCGGATGGCCGTGTTTGTGAGACGAGTAGAATCTCTGGAGGGTGGGGCGTCAGTTCTTAGAGGTCTGAACGACTGGTAAAATGCTGTCCCACAGGCTCACCTTGCACTTCCCACCATGCTGTTGTGTCACCACACCACCTGTCGGCCTCTTCCAAATATACCCTTGCGTTCGCCACTTCCTGCCGGCCTCACCAGGAGGAGTTCTCGGGTGTGATCACGCGCGCGCTGGCCGTGCTGGTGGTGGGGCTGGAGGCGCGGCTGGACGGCGAACTGGACCGCATGGCGCGCATGCCATGGAGCACCCTGGAGTCCGTGGGCGACCAATCAGAGTGAGCCACGTAGCGGTATAGGTGCACCCATGGCACATGAATGCACTTTTTGTTTCAGTCATGGCAGATGATGGATCCGCGTGAAGAAAAGTGAGTGCGATAGTGAGTGCGATAGTGAGTGCGATAGTGAGTGTGATAGTGAGTGCGACAGTGAGTGCCACAGCGAGTGCGACAGTGGGTGCGACAGTGGGTGCGACAGTGGGTGCGACAGTGGGTGCGACAGTGGGTGCGACAGTGGGTGCGACAGTGGGTGCGACAGTGGGTGCGACAGTGGGTGCGACAGTGGGTGCGACAGTGGGTGCGACAGTGGGTGCGACAGTGGGTGCGACAGTGGGTGCGACAGTGGGTGCGACAGTGGGTGCGACAGTGGGTGCGACAGTGGGTGCGACAGTGGGTGCGACAGTGGGTGCGACAGTGGGTGCGACAGTGGGTGCGACAGTGGGTGCGACAGTGGGTGCGACAGTGGGTGCGACAGTGGGTGCGACAGTGGGTGTGACAGTGAGTGCGACAGTGAGTGCCACAGTGAGTGCGACAGTGAGTGCGACAGTGAGTGCGACAGTGAGTCCGACAGTGAGTGCGACAGTGAGTGCGACAGTGAGTGCGACAGTGAATGCGATAGTGAGTGTGATAGTGAGACACATTGTGGAACAAGGGCGATGTGAGAGAGATGATGCTGGAACACAGGCGAGCAGACAAGCGCATCTGTGCGAGTAGCAGCAGCTAGTTTGATCCGCCCATCCCCTGGCCTTGTTGCCTGCCGGATGTTGCTGAGTTGATCCGCACTCGTCTCAGGCGATTGGAGGCTCAGCATTCCCTGACACTAGGGCTTTCTCTTCGTGCACTCCTCCTCTTCCCTATCTCTCAATCCGCATCAGAATCGTGATTATCACCCATCTTCACTATACCCCCAGTGCATGCCCCCCCCTCCTCTCTCCCCGCCCTCTTCGCAGTTGCTATCCAATCCACCCCCCGTCCCTCTCTTCCCCTTCCCTTACCCCCTCTGCCCCCTCTGTCTTCTGACCCTTCACAATCCCCTACGTCCACTGCCTCCTGCGCATGCAGGTTCGTGAACAACCTGAGCGCCATCTTCTCCAACTCCATCCCCATGCTGGCGGGGCTGCTCTCGCCGCTGCACTTCCACTTCTTCCTCGACAAGGTAAGCCCACCTGCCCCCGCGTGCTGTACGCTGCTGCCCCCATGTGTTGCAAGCTGCTGCCCCCATGTGTTGCAGGCTGTTGGCCCCATGTGTTACAAGCTGCTGCCCCCATGTGTTGCAAGCTGCTGCCCCCATGTGTTGCAAGCTGCTGCCCCCATGTGTTGCAAGCTGCTGCCCTCATGTGTTGCAACCTGGTGGCCGCATGTGTTGCAGGCTGCTGCCCCCATGGGTTGCAAGCTGTTGCCCCCATGTGTTGCAAGCTGCTGCCCCCATGTGATGCAAGCTGCTGCCGCCATGGGTTGCAAGCTGCTGCTCCCATGTGTTGCAAGCTGCTGCCCCCATGGGTTGCAACCTGTTGCTCCGATGTCTTGCAAGTTGCTGCCCCCATGTGTTGCAAGCTGCTGCCCCCATGTGTTGCAAGCTGCTGCCCCCATGTGTTGCAAGCTGCTGCCGCCATGGGTTGCAAGCTGCTGCCCCCATGTGTTGCAAGCTGCTGCCCCCATGGGTTGCAAGTTGTTGCCCCAATGTGTTGCAAGCTGCTGCCCCCCAAGCTGCTGCCCCCATAGGTTACAAGCTGTTGCTCCGATGTGTTGCAAGCTGCTGCCCCCATGTGTTGCAAGCTGCTGGCTGCATATGTGTAAGAAATAGAGCTGAAATGATTGATTAGGTAAGGAGCTCAAGGCTCTATAAGTACATGGCATGGTGAGGGAGAATGGATGAAATGGGAATTGGAGGGAACCCCCACTGGGATCTCCGGAATCTCCAATTTGGTAATTGGAGATTGGGGGGATCACAATTGGGTGAGGTTTGGATTTTGTGAGTACACCCCAACCCACTAAAACATTCCTAACCTAAATTAGGATATAAAAGTACAAATACAAAAATAGGATTTGCAATCTATTTCTAACACACCCCCATAGACTGCAAACCGGGCCAAGGAGCACATAGCCCCATGAAATGAAGAAAACGATGGTGGTCAGCCTTGTCGAGAGCCTTAGTAAAGTGGTCGTCGAGGTTGCAATTTGAGGCGATGTACCGTACCGTCAGTTAGTCACTCTGAACAAGATCTCGGATGAAGAAATGACGAAGTTCGATGAGCTTGGTGCGAGAGTGGAACACATGATCATTGGTGAGGTGAATGGCGCTCTGGTTGTCACACCACAGGGTGGGCGACTGCTGGGGGTAGCCTAACTCAGCGAGGAGAAAGGAGAGCCAGCGTGCCTCTTGAGCAGCTATTGTGCCTGCATAGAGCTCGACCTCGCAGGACGACAGGGAGAGTGTAGAGGACCGAGTGAAGCGCCAGCTGATGACTCCGCTACCAAGAGTGAAGAAATACCCTTGGAAGGTGCGTCTGTCACTCTGGTCATCGGCCCATGAGGAGTCTGTGTATCCCTCGAGCTTGACTGAAGTGGTACCACCGAGAGTGAGGATGTGAGACTTGGTGGCTAGTAGATAGCGCAGGACCCTCTTGGCTGCAGACCAATGGAAAGCAGTGAAGCGTCCGGGGGAGACATACAGAGAGAGGACACTAACCGAGTAAGCCAAGTCTGGTGGAGTGCACATCATAGCATACATGAATGAACCGACTAGCTCAGGGTACGGGTCCTTGCAGGCGCTAGAAGAAAGAATCGGAAGGGCCGTGAGCTGATGCTGTAGTGGAAGTGGAGTGGAGACAGAGTTACTGGAGTCCATGTCGAACCGCTTGAGAAGTTGTCGATGTAGGACTCCTTGGAGAGGGTGATTGTGCAAGCCTGGCGGTCACGAGTGATCTCCATGTCTAGGTAGTTCTTGAGGACACCAAGATCCTTCATGAGAAGGGCGGAGCTGAGAGAACACTGGACAGCTGCCATCTCGGCTGGATTTCTGGCAATTAGAATGAAGTCGTCGACGTAGACGAGGATGTAGAAGGTCTCGAAGGAGTGACGAACGAAAAGACTAGAATCTGAGGCGGATGGATGGAATTCAAGTGCGAGGAGAACTTCCTTCACCTTGTTGTGTCACTCACGAGGAGCCTGCTGAAAGCCATACACTGGGCGCTTCAGCTTCCACACTGTGTTGGCAGGATAAGTGCCAGAAAACCCCGATGGGCGTTCCATGTGAACATCCTCCTTGAGCTGGCCTTGGAGAAAAGAGGAGGAGACGTCCATGGACCTGATCTTGAAGTTGCCGTGAGAGGCTATATCAAGAAGAGCGCGCACAGTCGGGAGCTTGGCCGTAGGCAAGAAGGTTTCGAACAAATCGACATATTCCTGCTGAGTGAAACCCTTCGCCACGTATCGTGCCTTGAACAGAAGAGCTTCGCCTGGGAGTTATTTGACTCGGAAGATCCATCTTCCGCCGACAATGTTAACACCAGAAGCGGGAACGACATAGTCAAAGTTGTTGTTAACGCCGGAGAGCGTGGCCTCAAGTCAGAGAGTGGTAGGTGAGGCGTCGAGCCGGTGGGGAGACGAATAAAGATTGTAGAGGAGTGCCGCATGGAAGAGGGCATATCCTCAGAGTGACCGTGGTGCGTTGGCGTGACTGAGGAGGCAGCGAGCGATTTCAACCAAGGTGTGGTTGCGGCTCTCTGCAATGCCATTCTGCTGCGGGCTTTCGGGGAGCGTGAAGATTTGCCGAATCCCTTGGGCCGCGCAGAAGTTATCGAGTTTGCCATTGCGAAATTCCCCCCCGTCATCAAAATGGAGGCACTTCAGAAAAGTGGCAAACGTGGCTTGAGCCTGGCGCACCCATGCCATGATGACGTCAGGTGCCTCCGCCTTGGTGTGCAGGAGGTGCACGAAAACATACCGCGAGTGGTCATCGACTAGTGTAAGAAAGTACCGATGACCGCCTCGGGATGCGACTGGAGCTGGGCCCCAGACATCCATGTGCACTAGGTCCAGCGGAGCAGCTGCGACGGATGGGGAGGAAGGGTGCGGCTGCTGCCTGAGCTTGCTCTTGGTGCAGTCCAGGCAGGTGGGTGCAGCTGAGTCTGTTGATGGAGAAAGCGCCGACGGGAGGCCAAGAAGAAGTTTCTTGGAAGCGATGTCGGCAAGCGTACGGAATTTGGGGTGACCCAAGCGATGGTGGTAGAGGATGGTTGGGTTGGCGAAGCTGCAACACGAACACGGAGTGGTGTTGGCAGCTTGCGCTTGGGAGAGAGCGGCGAGAGGTGCAGGTGAACGCATCGTGTAGACCTTGCTGCTGTTGAGTGTGAAGCGTGCTAGGAGCTTGTTGGACTTAGGATCAAGGAGGTCACAGTGATCCGAGTGTGTTGGGAACATCGTGGTGACGCCTGCCCGTTGGAGCTCGTGTTGGGCCACGAGATTGTGGCGTAGTGTGGGAACACACATGCCGGTGACACTGCCCGAAGAAAAAGCTGGGCACGGAACTGTGGAGGAGCCCTTGCCATGTGTTTTGAAACTGGAGTCTGCTCCTAGTAGACGGAATGGTGTCTCGTATGGCTTGAAGTAGTGTTCTTCCTTGAGAACCGTGTGAGTGGCCCCACTGTCGAGGGTGAACTCTATTGTGGCTGAGGTGCTTTGTGAGCCGGAACACTGCGAAATTGTCTCATTAATCATGGCAGTGCTAGGGAACAACATGTTGAGGCGCACATCAGCAGGGGGAGCTACAGCAGCCTGCACGGATTCCTGCGCTTCGACTTGATTGAGCTTGCAAGGAGCACGATTGACCATCCAGATTGGCGACTTCGAGGCGGTCCCATTAACGGCATACCACTCGTCATCCTTCTTCTTGAAGCAGAAGGCAAGGGCGTGGTTGGTGCCGCCACTCACCTGGCCGGTACGAGGGCCGCGCTTGATGACGTAAGGACACGGGGGGAAGCGGTTGCGCTGGAATGGCGCCGAAGCGCCATAGGCTTGAGGCACGGGAGCGCGGATTGCATTGGCCTTGGCTTGAGCACTGTTGTCCTTTTCGGCAGAAAGGAGCGCAGATGAGGCCTTGGCAAATGTGAGGTCCGCAGGAACAAGGCCCACGAGCATCTTGCGTGTGACTTCGTATGTTGGAGTGAGGCTGACTAGGAGAGCGGCTGCAGGGGCTTGCTCGGGGAACACTATCCCCAACTGCTTGAGTTCACCATAAATGGACTGCACCTTGGTGACATAGTCCGCCATGCCTGGCGAGTCCTCGAGCCGCACTTGGAACATGCTGGGGATGAGTATAGCAACTCCCACTGCAGTCTTGTTCAGGAAGCGGTCTTCGAGGTAGAGCCAAATGGCGTTGGCAGACGGGTAGTTGTGGTAAGTTTCGACGAGTTCGGGAGGAGTGGTGCCCATGAAGACACTAATGACCGCACCATCGGCCTTCTCCCAATTTTTGTACTTGAGCAGTGCAGCAGCATAAACTGCTTCGGCGGCGGCATTGGTTGGATCGGCGGACCTCTCGGGTTTAGGAGGCTCTTTGCCGTCACCAATGTTGAGAAGAACGTCGTTGAGCTCGAGCCCATTCACCTCGCGACTGAGGAGGTGCTTGTCGACGCCATAGCGCCAAGCCTTGTAGTTGGAGCATGTACCGTCCGGCTCGAGACGAAGGAGCGGGATCGGGTTGGCGAGTGAAGTGGTTGAGTAAGCCATTCCCGTTTGATTTTCGCGAGGAGATGCTCTTATGTCATTGATGCTCTTCGGTGCGCAGCACGGCAGTTCTGGAAATCGGTCGACGAGAATTGCTGGAAATCACTCAAACGGCTTCGCCGAAATGCCGCTAAGAAGGAAATGGCGTCGGCGGGAATTTGTTTAAACACCGACTTGAAACAAAATCTGAGCCTAAGTCTAACCCTGGACCCACACACCCCCCCACACACCCCCAGGCCCTGTCCCGCAGCTACACAGCTCCGGAACCAGCTCCACAACCAGCTCCGCAACCAGCTCCGCTCCGCTTCCACCTACGTACCTGCTCTTGCTTGACGCGAGACGTTCGTGGAGGCGATTCCGCGAGGGGAGTTCGCTTTTGTTGGCGGGGTCCGAGAGGAAACTCGAAAACGAGTTTTAAGAGATGGTCGAAATTGAGATTTGACCAAGGAGAACCGAGGAGGAAATCGACGATGAGAAGCGTGAAAGCTTCAGAGATGAGAAATTCAAAGAGGTCGAGTGCGAAGGCGGTCGACGATGAGAGGAGCACGTTGAAATTTTCAACGACTCGAGCCGAATGTCGCAACGATGAGGTGCGCGTAGCGCGGGCACGTTAAGATTAAGACCTTGATCCGCATGTGCGGATAGGTCGCTTTGATACCATGTAAGAAATAGAGCTGAAAGATTTGATTAGGCAAGGAGCCCAAGGCTCTATAAGTACATGGCAAGGTGAGAGAGAATGGATGAAGGGGGAATCGGAGGGATTCTCCATTGGGATCTCCGAAATCTCCAATTGGGTAATTGGAGATTGGGGGGATCACAATTGGGTGAGGTTGGGATTTTGTTAGTACACTCAAACCCACTAAAACATTCCTAACCTAAACTATGATGTAAAGGTATAAATACACAAGTAGAATTTGCAATGTGTTTCTAACAATGTGTTGCAAGATGCTGCCCCCATGGGTTGCAAGCTGCTGCCCCAATGTGTTTCAAGCTGCTACGCGTGTCATGGCTGGTCGTCATCTGCCTGGCCTCACTCTTTGACGAGGCGCCTCAATCGCCTCAATCGCCTCAATCGCCCACAGGTGGCGGGGTTCAGCCTTGGGGGCGCGTTGCCTGGGTGTCTCTGGATCAGTGTGCCCGCCTCTTCTTTCGCATTGCTCACCCCGTTCTCTTCGCACCATCCCCTCGCTCCCCCATTTGTCTCCTGCCTCCTATCCCCGTCGTCCGTCTCGCCTCCACGTGTCGCTCTTTGCTGCGGCGCCTCTCGCTGCAGCTGGCAGCGTCGTTTGGGCCGCGCTACTACGCCACTGTCTTCAAGGCAAAGCGCCTCTCCGGCACTGGAGCTCAGCAGGTGAGGTTGCGCCAGGTCACACGACAGCAGGTGGTACAGCAGATACTACGGCACGGATGTTGAAGTAGAGTGAGGTGATGAGGGTGTGTGTGCGGGATCATTTCCGTGCATGTGTGTCGAGTCTTTGCACTGCACTACTGTGCTGGATCCCAGCTCTCTCCTTTCTTTGTCGCATCTGTGTGCATGCCATCCCTCCTCGCCCCTGTTCATCCGCCATCTTGCGCCTCCTAGTCCCCGTCCTTCTCTTCGTCTCCCTCTCTTTCCCCTCCTCCCCCTCGTCAACCGTCCCCCTGCCCACCCCCCTGCTGGCAGATGCTGCTGGACACGCATGGCATCAAGACCATTCTCCTCGAGCTGCCGGCGCTGGGAGGGCTGGTGAGTCGTGCGTGCTGCAAACCGGCACGTGCACTCGTCCTGCCCCTCGCTCTTGTCTCCGTACATGACTAGTCCATCAAGCGTGGCGCCCTTGCCAACCCATGCCAGCCCTGCTGTCCTCTGGGTCCGCCCCAGCCTTCTCCTTCCCCGCCCTGCTCTTACACCCGTGTACATGTACCATCCCCCCCGCGCTGTCCCTGGCCCAGGCGTCCACCGCCGCCTACAGCAAGTATGTGACGCGCGAGTTGGGGCGCTCTGAGGCGCTGCTGAAGGTGAGAATGGGGGGAGTGAATGCGGTTGATGCTGGGAGGTAGGTGCCAGCTGCAGGGGCACAACGAGCACTTGCATGGCGCTGCTGCAGCAAGCATCTGCTGATATGCCACATCATGTCAAACCATGCCCTCCCACATCCTGTCAAACCATGCCATGCCACATCATGTCAAACCATCCAGGCCACATCATGTCGAACCATCCACGCCACATCATGTCGAACCACCCAGGCCACATCATGTTGAATCATCCACTCCACATCATGTCAAACCATGCCTTGGCACTTCATGCCAAACCATGTTATGCCACATCATGCTAAACCATGTCACCGCCCCTCCTATTCCTCCTCACTCCCCCCCCACTCCCAGGTGATTCTGTCCCCCCAGGAGAACATAGTAGACACGTACCGGGCGCTGCTGCCGGAGGGCTGTGCTGCCGACTTCCTGCGCACGCTGGACCTCAAGGTGGGCTCCACACTCCACCCCGCCCTTCCGCTGCATGTCCTCGTGTGAGCATAGAGCATGGATGCACTGTGTGTGCTCCATGGGGCACGGATGCACTGTGTGCGCCACACATGAAAAGCAACGCTCATCATCTTCATCACCCTTTCCTCCCCCTCCTCCCCCCCACAGGGCGTGAAGAAGCCGGAGCAGCAGCCGTTGCTGGACGCGCTCACAACCAAGCTCAAGGCAGCGGCGCCCACCCACGGCCCGACCTCCAAGTCGCCCACCTCCTCCACCCCCTCCTCCTCCGCCCCGCCTTCCTCAGCCATCCAGCCAGCCACACCTGCCGCCGCCGCTGCTGCTGCTCCTCCAGCAGCCACAGCCACTGCTGCTGCCGCCGCTGCTGCCGGCATGCTGACCAGTGCGGCAAGCCGCGAGGCCATGATAGCACGTGCGGCGGCTCTTGGGCGCGGTGCCATGGCGCAGTCAGCGGCGGCGGCGGCTGCGGTGTCGCAGAACACGGCGCTGAAGCGCATCTTCGCCCTCGCGGACTCCTCCGCTGCCAGCGGCTCCAAGAAAGACATGTCCTTCCGCTCGCTCTTCAATGCGTAGAGCCGTGCCTTCTACCGTAGGTAGGAACAATTCAGTTTCTGAGATGGAGTTGAACATGGATTATATTTTGTTGGCCGCAGTAGAGGGACACTGAAATCACAACCAACGGGTGTGAGCTTGTTGCTTTCTGCTAGTGTCATATGGAATATTTCTTCTGTACCGGTGTTGTGCCTCCTACCACTTAGGACTGAATGGAGTAACGACCTGTAAAGCGGGTCGGCCTGTAAGCTGAGCGAGGTGGGTTTGCATCCCTCCGGCTGTCGCGAAAGGGTACTTCGCGATTCAGGGGTCCCATCCAATCTCCCACTCCCTGAAGCTGAACGGTCGCCTGGGCTTTCCTTGCGCTGAGTCCAACCAACGGTGGCGCGGCAACGAGTCCGATGGCCGTCCGTGAGTCGCGCTGCTCGGCGCGCTGCTGCTCCTGGAGGAGCCCCTCGTCGTCGTGTCGTTGGCTGGCCCCGTCGTCGCTGCCGATGCCCGTGGGCCCTGGTCCCGTGTGCCGTGGCCCTGTGGGCCGGGCTGCATGCCCACCGCCGAGGACCCCATCCGCGCGTGCCTCGGCGGAGGCCATGCGCCCACCACTGCCCCCCCGCTCCTGCTGCCTGCCTGCCCGTCCGCCAGAGGCTTACACCGAGTGGCCCTGCACCTCGCCCGCCCTCGTGTGTCGCGTCACTTGGCATCCCCCCCTCAGCCATGGCGAGTGATGCGGGAGGCAGCGCGAGGGCGGGCTTCCCATCGACCGCTCTGCGTGCCGCCGTCGCGCCCATCGCAATGCGCGGCCCTCCTCCCCCCCTCGCTCCCAGCCCCACCCCTCTCCCTCGTCTGTCGCGTCACGCCCGTCCGCGATCGGTGTGCGCGGGGTGCAGTGCTGCAGCCTCCAGCGTCGACGCTGCAGAGCCAGCCGTGGTGCCCCTCACCGACGTGCGCTGCGCGCCGTGCCTGCGCCTTAGACTCCCTGCCTGCTGGTAGCAACTGATTCTCGTCTTCACCGGCTTAGAACGGCTTAGCACCGCCGCTCTCACCGCCTACCGCCCCTTGTGCCTGCCAATGCACTCACGCCCTCGCCGCCCCACCTCGCCCGTCTCACAGCGCGGCATGGCTGCGACGGGAAGCGACGACCTGCGCGCCTCATGCCACGGCGGGCTGAAGGCGCTCCGTGGAAGGTCGGATTCCAGATTGCCCATTGCGCTCTCGAGACTTGCACACGTTTTTTTTCCGCGAGAAAAAAATCCTTAAGTCATCGTGCTCTCAGCGAGCTCTGAAAGCTTCAGTTAGCCCATCGCTGTTATGTTCCCGCACTTGGGTTCCTTCCTCTCGTTCCCCTCTCTCGCTCGCCTTTCTCTCTCGTCCACGCCATCTGCCGCCTTCCATTCGCTCCAGCCCCCACCACCAGCGAACAGCGCGGCGGGCAGCACCGCACGGCGCTCCCACCAGCGCGGCTGATCCAGGCGCCTCATCGCCCGCCCCCCCAAAAGCACCCCCCCCCGCCATGCGAAGGGCAGCCGCACTCCCAAGGGCCCCGGCGCAGCGGCGGGGGATGGGGGGGTGGTGGGGACACTGTGGTAATTGGAGTAGCACGTGCTGGCGCGGCGGGTGGACGACATCTTGAACGACGCGCTACTCGCCGCGCACGTGAGATGATGCACATGGGCGGGTGCGCATGGGCGGGTGCGCATGGGCGGGTGCGCATGGGCGGGTGCGCATGGGCGGGTGCGCATGGGCGGGTGCGCATGGGCGGGTGCACATGGGCGGGTGCGCATGGGCGGGTGCGCATGGGCGGGTGCCCATGGGCGGGTGCGCATGGGTGGGTGCGCATGGGGGGGTGCGCATGGGGGGGTGCACATGGGGGGGTACACATGGGGGGGGTTGCACATGGGGGGGGGTTGCACATAGGGGGGGTGCATATGGGGGGGTGCACATGGGGTGACACACCCATCAGCATGTACCCGAGGCTACTCCGCTTCATGGTCGAGCATGAGACCCCAGACATTCCGCTGCAGTCTTACGGAGTCTACCTGACACGGTAATGCACTGTTTCCAAAAACACCATATCCTTGATTCATTGTATTAGGTCCAACAACCTCCCTGTTGTTACTTCTGCTACCACAGGTATGGCTTCTATCAGCTCGTCAACAGCTTGGCATCCTACCTGAAGCGCAGAGATGCAACACATTCTTGCCACACCCTACCTCGACATCAGCTGCGACGAGAGCACTGACCGTACTCGCGGTAAACATCTCATTGTCTACCTAACCTTCATGCGTGCGCATCGTATTGTTACTGAGTTTTTTGCTCACTTGATCGTCGAGAAGTGCAACGCCGCGTCTCTCCTCGTCGTTCTTCTGGCTCACTTGCAAGCGACTCGCATCGACCTCTCCTGAAACATCGGCATGAGCACCGACGGCGCCTCTGTCATGGTCGGCAGCGACAATGGTCTCGTCTCCTGACTTCGCGAGCACATCCCCCACCTTGTCTCTTCGCACTGCATCGCACACAGGTTTAACCGCTTGTCATTTCTGTCGCTTAGGTTTCCTACAACAACTTGACTAAAAATCCTGTGTGTGCACCATGTAGGGAAGCCCTGGCGATGAAGTTCTCCAAACTTCGACATGGTCGACCATGTGATTCAGACTCTGGCCGGTCTTCTGGGACGTTCATGCGTCTGAAGTCAAAGCTTTAAGTACCTGCAGCGGCAATTCACAACACCAACCTTGAAGCGCAAGGAATTCACACCATGCGCAGGCTTTCAAGGGGTGAGGCTGTACGGCGCCTCTATAAGGTCCTTGGCGCCGCTATTATTATGTTTCATGAGTACGGGCATGAGCTCTATCAAGTCATTATCTGTTACAAGTTATAGTTCTATCTTTTTTTTCTGGCGGACGTGCTCGGAGTGATGAATGAGCTCAACCTCAAATTCCAGAAGAGGGAGGTGAGCTTCCACCACTCAGCATGTTGTAGTTTTTGTCCCATGCATGCAGCATCTCCACCAGATCGATGTTACGGAAGTGACGAAGGATATCGACGAGGCGACAGGGGACCTCCGCCACCGCTACCTGGAGTGCGGAGAGGTGTTTGGTGCGGGGGTCGAAGGTACGTGGCTGTCAGCTTTCTTGGCCGTCTACGAGAGCGGGGGGAGCAAGCGCGTAAAGGTGCGGGGCATCAACAAGGACGGGAACCCAGTCACACACACCTACACCATGCACAAGAAGCAGATCGAGGGGCATGCCTTCCACAGCAACTACCCCGACTGCGAGTGGCTCTGCGCGCAGTTCGCGAAGGACACGATGACCTTCCTGAAGACGAGGATGCTGGACCTGAACAACCTCGCCCTTCTTCGACAATAGGCTGCCAGGCTTCGACTTGCAAGCTGCTCAAAAGGAGCTGGTTAAGTGGGCGCCACTGATGCTGAGCCACCATGCCGACGAGGGATTCTTTCAAGGCCTGAGAAACTACCTGGGCTCGACGTAGTCGAACTTGTGAGTGACTGCCGTTCCAAGGACCTTTGTTGCATGTCTTCAGGCCGGTTCTAATCTTCCCCTTGGAACTCTGTCGAGTAACACGCGCACAACCCAATGTTGTTTGTTGCTTGTTGACTAGTTGCACTAATTCACTGGTCTTCTTCTTTGCACTATGTTCCCCCAACCCTCTTGGCAGGTGCTGGCCCAACCAGATGCGCTTGTGGCAGGCGTGCGCTGTCCTGCCGCTGAGTACAGTGGAGGGTGTATGGGGCTTCTCGCGGCAGAACGTCATCAAGTCATGGGTGTGGGGTGCATTGTGCAATGCGTGCCTCAACGAGCTGATGGTCATTTCCCTGCTGCAGTATGAGATTGACTGGGACAAGGCCCTTGAGTGTTGGCGAAAGAAGTTGAGGCGCCCTGCTAAGTCAGCTCTGTTTGCCTCAGAGGAGAGGAAGCGTAAGGCCAAGGTGGTAAAGGGGGCAGAACGGAGGGTGGAGAAGGAGGCAGTCCCGGACTACATGGGGGATTGGGCAGACGATGAGGGAGAGGAGGGGGAAGAGATGGGAGAGGCTCCTGTAGTGGAAGACAACCCGTTTCTGTCCGACGACGAGGCAGAGGACGAAGTGAACATGGATGCCCCAGAGTTTTAGTCAAGGGTAGCTAGTGGTGTGGAATCTCGTGAAGTCTAGATAGAGGACTGAACTTGTTGGAAATGATGAATAAGGCATTTCCGGAATCTTGCGTGAGTATACGAAATACACAAAGACTACAACAGCGAGGATTACCGAGTCAATACCGCTACAGTAACCCTTACGATTTAGACAGGTTGACGACCTCACAGAGGTTTCGAACGGGCAACGGTCGCAGACCGTTGACCGTGCAACCAAACAGTCAGAATTGCAAGAGTCAAGAGTTAGCGCGACAGTAAGGAAAAATAACCGTCCCGATATTACAGTACGGGTGGTTACCCGAGTCGCCTTTATCGAGTCGTAAAAGGGAATGTACCCCTCGAAGTGCAAAACAGTAAGACTCTTCATATTCTCTTGTATTATTATATAAACCTTGTATCCCTTTGCTATAATCAATCACTTGTTCTCATATACCAGTACAAGGGTTCAACTCAAGACTTCCGCCGTGCTATCAAGCCCTCTGTTTCAAGGACTTAACATTTTGAAAACATCCTAGGGCTATTATCAGCCCAACATGGTATGAGAGCCTGTCAGAAGCTACGCTCCTAGTACAAACTCCCTCAGTGAGTTTCTAACATGTTTGAAGAATCAAGTACAACAAATCTAGTTAACAACTCGGCATTACAAGTCATGGCACCATCTAAGGGCGACGGATCCTCAACCGGATCCCCTTCTGCAACACCTGTTTCTGGACTCTAGACTGAGGCAGTTGCAGCTGCAGGAGCTTCCACGCAACCAGTGGCCTCCTCCACAGGCACGGACCCGAATCTGATGGAGAAGTTCTTCTCTTTCATGTCGACCTACAAGCAGCCCTCGACACCTGCTCAATCAGCAAACAGCAACAACAACAGTGGGGCAGTCCACATGAGTCTCGACGGCACATTTTACGTAAGAGGCGTACAGCCTACACAACATCAATCGTACCAGCCCTCGCCAGGCTCATTCACCTTCCTGCCGACTCCCGCACCGGCAATGGAGTCAACGAGCGGCTCCTGGCCCTTTCCTGCAAATGGGACTACTCAGGAAAAGAAAGTCTATACTTATTAGTCACTCATGGCTTTCACCATCCTCCTACGCAACCTGACAGCAACAGAGCAGCAGAGCATCCGGACATATGTATCGCAACTTCGGCAATTCGGCAGAAATGGCATACGGCCAACTGAAAAGCGTATATCAAGCAACCGTCATTGTGACACAGAGTCAGCTAATGGCAAACCTCACGACAATCCAGACGCAACCAGGAGAGAAGGCAATGCCTTACATTAATCGCTGCAGAGGCTTGCTCGACAAACTCTTACGAAGCGGAGGGCACTTATCGGAAGACTCGTTTATCATAGTCGTCCTCGCCGGCCTCGGTCCACAGTGGCGAGAATCTTATCGGAAGACTCCCTCCTACGCGCTCACGGGAGAATCTCCGAGATGCACACATGCGCGGAACTCCATGCCAAACAGCAAGACATGGACCTGTACGAAGAGAGACACTCTAAGAAGCCAAGTCAACAACCCGCGTTCTACGTGCACGGACACAACAACATCCACAACCACAACCATCAGAAATGACACTCACCTCCGTATTGTCATCGATGCCACATGACGAGACATTCGCGCTCCAACTGTCCTTGGCAGCAGCAGCAGCAGCAGCAGCACCAGCAGCACCAGCAGCAGCAGGAACACCAGCAGCCGCATATCTCACAGTATCAACCCCGAGCGTCGCGTCCGTCACCGAATCCGGTCGCTTCAACTCAGCAGCGCCCATCAGCTCCGACAAACCGCTCTGCACAAGACACAAGGAACGTCGTCAGCTGTATGGCTCGAATGGACTTCTGCGTAACCGACTCTCCACCACACTGCGATCTTGACAAAAAACCCTCCGCTCCGACTCAAACCCGGCTCCAACCGAATCCAACTTACGTTGCAATCGCTCGCGACAAACCGTCAGGCCGCGACACATGGTTTCTTGATAGCTGCAGTGGCTAGCACATGTGTTCTTCAACGCGCTTCGTCCAGCAAGAGAAGACATTGAGCCATGAAGTCGTCATCACTATAGCCAACAACCAGAACCTGCGCACAAGGAAGGAGGGAGTTGTTCTGTGAGAGTACGACCCCGACCCATTCCTCTCTCCTTTCCATATCCCCTTTCATTCCATTCCTCTTTTTATCCTGATCCATTTGGTTTTTATCTCATTCCATTTGGATTCCTATTTCTCCTTTTCCATAAACCTTTATCCTGTTATTATCATTATATCACCGACCAGGCTCGGGGTGTACTGGCGCGCTATATCTAGCGTAATCCTGCCGTAATCCCTTAAAGACAATAGCCTCGCGTAGCTATACGCAGGGTGATTCTATTTTCTAGAAGGGTCTATTCCCTTGGGATGAGATAAACCTGGTTACCTGATGTACGTTGGAAGTATAAAAGCGCCTTGTACTGATCGATAGTGCAACCTTTCCTCGACACATTCGATCATGTGACATGTTCAGTTACAATCAAGCGAGACGAGTGTGATACTACAAATGTCACAAGCACTCGTCGTCGACAACCTCAGCTACAACCTCTTAAGCATCAGCCAGCTGATGTCAAATGGAATTCACCTGGAGTGCGACAGCTTCGACCGAGAGTTTCGACTCTACCACGGGAAGGGCGGCCTATTCATCGGCAGAGCCATCCAGAAGCACGGAGTCTTCGTCTTGGACTTTGTTCTGGACTGCGGGACCACCGACAGCGACGGCGTCGTCTCCTTCGCACCATGGATGCACCCACCGGATCTTGACCCCGGGTTCAACCGCGATGGCTTCTAGCACTCCAACACCATACCTGAAGCAGAGAGCACTCAAGCATTAGCAATGATGCAAGAAGCAGAGGAACAAGAAGTAGAGACAAAGGAACGAGAAGCAGAACCGCAAGCGCCGACAAGCCAACTTCCTGGAAGTCCCATCGGGGGACCTTCGTCGGCACCACCCGTCGAAGCAGCTCCGCCTGAACCGGAACCAGTTGAAGAGCCACCACCGACAATCGCCGAGCAGCTAAAGGTACATCCGCGCGAGCAGCATCGGAGCGTCGCAACCGTCTCCGCCTTCTACGCCAACTCGGACCTGTATCATTGATATGTGGGACACAAGGCAAGCGAAGGAAATTGGCATCAACGGTTAGGGCATCCTGGAAATTCAAGGTTATTTGATACGATTCGTGCAAATGTCTTGGACAAGGACGCGCTCCTACTACTCGATGGCCAGGAAATTCGCCGACCGCGACGTACCTGCTTTATCTGCCCCGAAGCAGATCTTCCCTGTCAGCCGTTCTCGTCACATCACAACCCCAGCACACCAGAGTACACTCCACTCGAGAAAGTCTACAGCGATATACTCTACATCCAGCGAGAAGTCGGCCGGGCCGACCTCAACTACGTAATCATCTTCGTTGATGTCGCGACAAGATACACTTGGTAACTTAACCTACCGTCGCGCGACCTCACCTTCTCTGCCTTCATTGCATGGCTTGCTGCAGCAGAACGGGAGGGAGACATGATGCTAAAAATCTTTCAGTCCGATGGAGCGATGGAGTATCAATCACAACAATTCAAGACCTACCTCGCAGAAAAGGGAATCAAGAGGCTCGTCACCATCCCCTACGCTCACCAACAAAATGGCGTAGCAAAGAGGATGAATTGGACCTCCACAACACCATGAGAAAGTTACTGACCGGGATGCGCCTGCCCAACTCGCAGTGGCCGAAGGCGATGAATCAGGCCGTCATGCTGCAGAATCTTCTGTTGTCAAGGGAGATGGGACCATGGATCGCTTCAAAGCATGATGGGTCATTCGCGGATTCGAACAACAGTACGGCAGCGACTACATGGAGACGTTCGCTCCCGTCAGCCGCCACACTTCTCTTCGAATCCTCCTCGCCGTCGCCGCCGCTCGTCGCCTTCTCCTGCGCCAAATCGACGTCGCCACTGCCTTCCTCTACGCCGCGGTCGACGCCGACATCTTCGTCGAGCAGCCACACGCCTACGTCGACGACCTAACAATGGTTTGCCAACTGCTCAAATCCCTCTATGGGATCAAGCAGGCCCCACGCCTGTGGCAGTAGTACCTGCACCGCATCCTCACCGACATGGGCTTTGCCCAGCTTCCACACAACCAGGGCATGTACCGCCTGTCCCCCAGCGGCGACTATGTCCTGCTAATCGTCTACGTCGATGATCTACTCTACGTTGGCTCCACTACTTCCATCACCGTCTGGTTCGAGAGCGAGCTGGACTACAGCTCATGATCACGGTATCGTTGACCGTGACACAGTACCTCGGCCTCAACGTTACCGACGGCCCCAACACCATTCATCTACCGGCCTCGAAGTACGCCGACACCATCGCTCGCTGATTCGATATGTCCCCGCTACCTCTCGCTACTCCGTACACCTACGTGCCGCCAGCAACGGCGTTGACCACCTCCCTACTCACACGGGACGGCATTCAGGAGTACCAGCAGAAGCACGGATGTCTGCTATTCGCCGCCGTCACCTGCTGTCCTGACCTCTCCTACGCTGCTAGCTAGCTTGCTCCCACCTTAAGCGACCTGAAAAGGGGAATTTGGCAGAACTCGACCGCGCGCTCCACTACTTCGTCTCAACCCCGACGATTGGACTAACATACCACAAGAACGCCGCTACTAAAACCGAACTCATCGACTACCTCAACGCCGACCACGCCGGCGATAAGGACAACCGCCATTCACGCACCAGCTACATCTATCGCCTCGAACCTATCGGAAATATCTCGTGGCACTCGG